GCGAAATACTCCATAAATAGTAGTTTACGCGTCATCGGGTTTTGTTAACACTTATCGCTTCGTTTTGTACTGGTGACTTAGCATCAGAGCAGATAAATATTCAAAAAATTATACGATAAAATACTTGCCACCATTTAAAACATTTTTTTCAACCGTATGCATATCACACGACAAAATTTTCACATAAAATAAATTTCTATAAAAAGAAGAAATGATGCAGCATTCTATAAAGTCGGAGAACGATCTCAACGTTTATCTCATCACAAAGTATAAATAAACGTGCAAATGTCTCATTATGAATTAATTTACCGTGAAAAAAATTTTATGAAACGTGCAAATTTTACAGAATTTTTAACAGATAACGATTTGCGTTTCTCGTTATCAGATTTCTCGTTAAAAGTGTTGTACACTTATTACAGTAATGTATCAAATATTCAATCCTTTCACCAGTGCAAAAGAAATTATTCTCTTATATACATGTATATGCAACATTTTACATATTATAATAAATAAAATTTTTTGCAAACACAATACAGTTATTAAATTGTTTTAAAATTTTGTGCAAACAAATAAGAATTTGATATGAAGTAGCTAATTATTTCCTCTCAATTTGTAAAAAATCCAACATTAAAATCTTATTAATTATTCGCTAATTATATTGTTAATTATTCCGCTTTTTTCCTAATAATTATTGATGGAACCATAATTATTAATTCATCATCCACAAGAATGGTGATGATATTTAAATATCTGTAATTTTATATTAGAATTAAAAAATATATAATCAACTTTCGAAATTAACAATTGTAAAAAAATCAAATTTTTATAACATTTTATATAATTATTTGTGTATATAATTATTAATATATAATGTATTACTTCTGTAATTTTTTTAGAAATCACTCACTATTTAAAGTAAATTAAGTGTATAAGATATTAAAGAATATTGATTTGCTAGAAAATACGAAAAATTTCACGAATCTTCGTTGACTCAACAGCAACCTTCTAATCGCTTTTTTTTTTAGTTACTGATAACAGAAAGTTTACGAAAAAAGGTGAGGCATCGAAGCCTTCGTTTCGCAACAGATAGAGCAACGTGGATTCGCGCACATGGATGCATACAACATATCATATAAACGGTAATATGCATCGACGTGAATAAATATTACGTATTCAAATGCTTCCGCATCACGGAAGTACATAAGAATTCCGGAAAAACAGCATGAGTAAGACTAAACATTGTGATAACATCGTGAAATAAAAATTACTTTAACAAAGTGAATTAATAAATAGTTCTGCTATCTACGTTTTTATTACATCTTACATTTTGAATACTTTTAATGTGTACATAACCTTTCAATTTTTAATTAAAATAATTTATAATTGATCAAGTCAATTGATAAATTAATTGACTAACAAAAATCCTAAACCGAAAGAAACGGATGATGCATTCCTCAGAAAATTTTATAAAGTGTTGAAAGTGAAGAAATTAAAGAGGTTCGTTATTCATCATAAAAATATTACAAAACACTTGATTATTAAACAATCGTCTCTCACAATCGATTTGAATTTATTAAATTCAATTTCTCCTATATAATATATATATAATTCTAGAAAAACATATTCCGCTCTAATTTTTGACAAGAATTATTTTCGCGCGTTTCAGCACGGGAATCTCATCTTTGTAGAATCGCTGATTTCGCCATGTGATGGAAACCCACGTGGCTTTCGCATGACTCATTCATTCAATTATTCGCTCGCTCGTTCACTCACCCTGGATGAAATTTGGCAATCTGAATTGCAGCGCGTCGTACACAGGTAACGGATGGGTCATCGGGCACGGATTACATTCCTCACGCATGTAGGATCTATGAGTCTTTGGACTGGTCGCTCCGACACTCCAATCCAAGCGCGAACGCTCGTCTTTCCCGACTGCCGACAGTGCCGACGGACTCGTCGCCAGCTGGCAGTCAGTATTTCCACTTCCCTTCCTTTCGTCATCATCAATTCGCCCCACTATAACCATGAGCCGTGTCGTTGGGCCGCGTCAGGGTCTTGACATTGAAGTCAAAGCGGTGACTAAAGTTGAAACATAGAGAGTACAAAAAAGATGGTTGAATAGACCTATAGAAATTATATGAAGAATCTCGAGAAACTGCACCGATCGATCATTGATTTTAAGCATGAGAAAACAAGACTGAGAAATATATTTAAAAAATACAATAATTGAGCGAATAACTTCTTAAAATTTACAATAATTTTTATGTCGATGCAGCAGAATGTAAATGTTAGGAAAAACTTGACATAAAAAGTTCAAACATGGCAATAATTTCAAAAAAGCTTATTTTCACAATAATTTTCACAGAAGTTAAGTAAAGAAATTATAAATATATTATAAATACATTATAAAAACATTTGTGATATTTTTTATAGAAAACATAAAATGTTTCTTATGTATTAATTTTTCAATAACAGATAATATTTTAATATTTTTACACAGAAGATTATAAAATTAAAATCTCTAATTATGTGTGATGTAATAAAAATAAATTCCTTTAAATATATCTACATTGAAATGGGTCCAATGATGAAAGGTGGGAAACATGAAAAATTTTACATTTATCAATATGTGTGACTTCAGGGATCAGATCCAATTTCTCTTCAGATCCAAGTTGTCATATCTATTATTTAAAATATAAGTTGTTTACTGCGAATAGCAATTTTATGAGCTATGATTGATTTTAATTGAGAGCCTTAATTGTTGAACGAGGGCAGCTGTTTCGCCGTAGGCACTTCATAGGCGCGTCATGACGAAGCGATTATCAGCGATATTTAAAGCGCAGATTCCATTGATTACATTAAGAATAAAAATTAAAGAGTCTTCATCTTTCCTTAAGTTTAAATACTCATCTTTGAAAATGTTACAAATTATATCTTGCAAAAAAAAAACTGAAATATATTTTTTATGTAAAAATCATGTTATTTTAATCATGTTATTTTATTAAATTATTACGAAGTGCTTACGAAATTATTACGAAATTTATGAGTGTTTCGCAACATTAAAATTTTCGAAATACATTTCTCAGAGGTTTTGCATTAATAGCGGTCTACAATTTAATGATAATTATTTTAATATGAAAGTGTTTGCACATTTCATTGATTGCTTGCGTAGCAGATGTAACGCTGATTAGAGCAAAAAATATCCTCACGATTGTCATTCCTAAAATTTGTCTCGCATAAATTGTTTCCATTAATAACGCGTAATATAAAGAGTCTCGGCCGCAATAAGTCCCGCGGAATTTCTTGATTGCAGTTCGGTCACAAGGCACGCTCCACAAATGGAATGCAATATAAGTTCCTCGAAATATATTCGTATATGAAGACATTCTCCCTTTTTTCACGTAGAATAGTGAGATCTAACAGAATCTAAGAGACCTTTCTTAATTCTAAGTCGTAGATTCTTCGATCGATTTGAAATCAATTTTTCTTTATTTGCTTATATTCAAATTATATAGAAAATTATTCCTGAAATCTTAATGAAAATTAATATATTTTTGTTTGTGTGCGTACAGAGTATAATATAAACATAATATAAATCTCCTAAATGGTAGTTATTAGTAATTTATAATCAAATAATACGTTAAGATATTTGGCTTTCAAAATTACAAACAATTAAGAATTGGAGACTTTTTTGTGAATTTTTCAAAGAAATTTTAAAATATCCAAATATATGTACATATATAAAACACGCTGTAAATTGGCAATTGATAATTCCCTTCTCTTTTTATCAATCAAATTATTGGAAATAATCGTTATCTATTTAATCGATACTTAAGATGAGATTACTGTAAATTAATTTTAATTTGAAATCAAAATCTCATCAAAAAACAATAATTAGAAATTCAGAACAAGACGAGAGTAATGAGAGTTTAACGCTGATGTAAGAACGAAGAATTAAGAGATGCAGCTAATACTTAGATGTTGGCATTTGTCTTCATTTATTCTATCGAATGTTTCGGCTCACCTTGGAGTTATCTTTAGCGAAAAAGTAAAATATAATACATAGGTGAAAGTAAGTCAGATTGACAGAAATGCAGTAATCAATACGCTCAACGGGAAACAAAGAAGTTCACATACATTGATTCACAATTTTCATAAGATATAAATTAAAATAAATCATTCCTCGGATTAATATCGTGTCAGTTCATCTTGACGTGTCGTTTGAAATGAATATTTATATATTTATATATTTATGTAATTGTTCAAAATCTCATCTCTCTAGATTACTTACATATTTGCATTATGGATTACAGCACTTTAGAATGTTTAAAATAGAAATGGATTAAAATTCTGAAAAATGATTACAGTCCATAATCCAATAAAACTAATTTACGTTTTAAAAAAACGTAAAAATCTTTGCATATATTTTTCTTTATTATATCGTAATAACTATAAAAAAATCACTTACATTAAACAAATTATAAATTATCTTAATTTTTTAAAGAACGTATAACGCAAGCAGAATACAAATATTTAATGTAATAAATAAGTGTATTATGTATATGTATGTATATTTTATTTAATATAATAAATAAAATTTGTATTATAAAGTTGGTATAACATTTCCTTCTATTTTTTGAATGGATTAAAAAAAATAATGATTAGATATATAGACGATCTCTCTCTCTCTCTTTCAATAAAGTGCGAGAAGCTGTGATCTGCGAACTATTCCCTTCGAGTTTGCGCATCCTGCATTCCGCAAGCGTGGAATCCTGCGAGATACGAAAGTTCACAGGAAGGATCCTCAGTGCAGATTCATCCTTTGCGGACTCCGTAGTATAACTCTATAAATCTCGTTAACAATATTAAAGAAATCAGGCTAAATTCGATATAAAATCCGAAACGAGTTAATAAAAATCCAAATTGAAACTGAAGCTCGGCGAGTTTACTCGCTGAATCGCTTCGTAGGGAGATTTAAAGAGGATTTAATTACGTTAACTATGATGTTGTTTCTATTAATCGCTCTCGCGAGCATCCATTCGAGTTGGTCTCAACGTGATTCTTCGATGGATGAAAATATAGCTAGAAACGCGGTGCATACGATTCCATTGGGTTCGGAGGTGACTTTTCATTGGAGGTGCGATTTTGAACAAGATCGATTACAATTATAATTGTTTGCAAAAACGGATATATTTTTAATTATTTTGGAACTTGTACATAAGCTATTCGATGCGAGTGTATGATTTATTCATTTTTCAATTTTCTGTTGCTTAAAAGCTACATGTCGTTATATTTATTGTCTTGTCATCTTTATTATAATTAAGATTAATTAACTTCAATCTATACAGATACAATTACACAAATACGATTCAAATCAACGATAGTATTATGCGTGTAAAATGTCGATTATTACAAGACTTATTGCGCGAAATCGAAAGTTAATTTATACTTAAAAATCTGTACACAGTCCAAACAAAATGTGATCGATTCGTACTCTTATAATAATGTATAGACAACCAGTCCAGAAATTTTTGTTAGTAGAATTGTTTCTATGTTGAAATTGGCAAAAACTCCTATTAATTAATTGTTATATAATGCGGTTTTCCTAATTTTAATACGGCAGCAACGGAAACGGAACTCTAAATTCTTCTTTTTTTATTTATATTGTTATAATTTCTGGAAATTTTTTCTCAGTTTTGCCGTTGCTTTTCAGAGTGGATCTAATGAATAAATTGGTGATCGCGGAAGTTCATTTTGTCGGTAATGATAGCAGCTGGTTCGCGATCGGATTTTCCGACTACGGAGAATTGAAACCAGCTGATTACTGCGTTTTATGGTCCGACTGGCACCAACAAATTCACTTTCAAGTAAAATATTCAATGATATAAAATGTATTAAATCGAATTATATATGAAAGATTGGTTTTATCCTTATCGGATAATCGGCAGGATTCATGGGCGGATGTCGATGGGAAATTACATCTGGACACTCAGCAAGACTGCGATAGCTTTGCGTGGAGAAGACGCGGTAATATCACGAAATTCACATTCTCCCGCAAATTCGATACTTGCGATGAGCATGATTATATCATTGAAGTGAGTATGATTTACGTATCTATATATGTAACTTGAAAAACTTGAAATTTCAAAAGTCTATTGCCGCTCTGATGAAAATTTTTCTTATTTTTATACAAATTGGAACATTTTTCAGAAATACTCAGAAATATTTGGAAAGTTTACATCTTCTATCAGAATTTTTCATAAATGTGAATTCTGAAATATTCTCAGATTTCTCAGATCTATAATTTTTTACAAAATATTTTCAAATTTTTTAGAACATTTTTTATAACATTTCAGAAATTATATTTACAAAAAATCTTAGAATTTTATGATATGTCATAATTAATATATATGAAAAATTCTGAGAAAGAATATAAATTTTCTAAAGTGTTCCAATTCATATAAAAAAAAATGTGAGAAATGTTATAAAAGAATATATAGAAATTCTGAGAAAAATTTTCACCAGGACAGTATTTATAGTCGATTTTTATTTCAAGACTGTCTTAAGTAATGTCTTAAATCGCATGTGCAGCCCTCTGATTGGTTCCTGACACCTTAAAATAGAACTTAAGAAGATCTTGAATATAAGATCTATCTGACTATGAAGGTCTAAAAGAATCGTTATTCGAATGAATTGTTATTCGTAATCTGAATTTAATTTAATAAGTTAACAATAATACTATATTGTGATATGAATTTTAACTTATGCGCAATTATAGCGCTTGATTCTTACTTGTTTTATTGTTCTATTGTTTGGAATAAAATATTCGTTTCCTATAGAGAGGTACAACGCATCTAGTGTGGCTTCGCGGTCGTGGACCGCTGTCGTCCTTGGCCGGTCTCGAGATATCAGATGCGAAAGCATCGGGTATGTCTCGTACGGAGCTCCACAGGGTGTCCCATAAAAAGCCCAAGTTCCCCGCGAATGCCTGGCAGCTCGAGTTACTCGCTCATCGGGTTCAAGTGCCAAAGAAGGAGACTACCTATTGGTGCCGTGTGCATAAGTTGCCGTCAGTATTAAGACAGAAGTACGTATTAGATATATGTAATAAATTGATGAGATGTCTATATATTAATATCTTTTATATTCATCATTAATTCTATTTAGAGTTTTTATTAATGCTTTTACCAAAATTGAATCTTTTATTCTAAAGATTTAATAGATATAAATAGAAAAATATTTACCGGTAGGCATCATATCCTACAATTTGGTCCTGCTATCCAAGCGGGTAACGAACACCTTGTACATCACATGGAAATCTTTCATTGCGCCGGACCAATAGATTTAGAAGTGCCAATGTACGATGGACCTTGTGACGGAGCAGATAGACCCAAAAAGACGCAGGTGATTGTCTTCTCGTCAAATGATACATGCGCAGTGATACTCATTTTAAATCATTTAGATTTGCAAGAAGGTGTTGGCAGCATGGGCGATGGGTGCTGATGCGTTTATATATCCGGAAGAAGCTGGTTTAGCCATCGGCGGAGCTGATTTCAATCCGCATGTCATGTTAGAGGTACATTACAATAATCCCGAGTTGCACCAAGGCGCTATTGACTCTTCCGGAATTCGATTTATTCTCACTAAAACACTCAGGAAATACGACGCCGGTGTTATTGAGCTCGGCCTCGAGTACACCGATAAGATGGCCATACCTCCGCAACAGGTGAAAAAATTGATTGATTGTAATTTTTAAAAAACTTATATTAATACATGTAATAAAATAGTTAAAAGTCTACACAACAAAGTTCGTATTACAATTTTACATTTATACAAATATTCTATACGTAAAAATTACTTAAGTAAATGTATACTTTTTATTTTACATACACCAAGTCTTAAAATCTCCAATTAAATTTATTCAAAACTCATTCATTTTTTTCTTTAATTTATGTCTACAATTTTGTAAATCTCTTTGTAAAAAAGAGATGGAATAGGAAATTTAATAAAATCAAGTATTATTTAGGAAGCCTTTATGCTATCCGGTCATTGTATAACGGAGTGCACCGGAGTCGGATTGCCTCAAAGTGGCATTCGCATTTTCGGCTCTCAACTGCATACTCATTTAACGGGTACCAAAGTCATCACTCGTCATATAAGGAACGGCGAAGAATTGTCACCGATGAACTACGATAATCATTACTCCACACATTTCCAGGAAATCAGATTGTTGCCAAAACCGGTGGCTATCTTGCCTGTAAGAAAATTAACTAAAGTAAACGAATATAGAAATAAAATAGATAATAAAATAGATAATAAATTTATTAAATTTATCAAACATCAAAACATTAAAGATAATAATAACAATTGAGAATCTTATTAAAAATGAAATAATTTACAGGGGGATTCTCTGATTACTACATGCACTTATAACACTATGAAAAGAGATAACGTGACTCTCGGCGGCTTCGCTATATCCGATGAGATGTGCGTTAATTATATTCATTACTATCCCAACGCGCAATTAGAGGTAAACTAAATTTATTAGTAAAAAGAAATTAGTAAAGAAATATTAAAGTGAGTAAATTCACTCATTCGCATGGATTTTTTTAGAACAAAATATTTGTTTAATTAGTTACGATATAAAATTCCATGTTATAATTAGGTATGCAAAAGTGCCATAAGCGACGATGCACTAAGGACGTATTTCCGTTATATGCGAGAATGGGAAAGTCAAGGGATCAATATGGAAAAGGGTATCTCGGCGAATTATAAGAGCATCGAATGGACTAAGGTCCGCGTGGAAGCTCTTCATGATCTTTACGAAGCTGCACCTCTAGGTTCGATCAATAGTTAAAAATTACGCGAATCTTTTATTTTGCTTAACAACTTCATCAATTCTTTTATTTTTAGCAATTTTGTTTCTAATTTTAATTAAATATAATGATGTAAAAAGTATTTTTAACTATTTTTTATCGATGTATTATTTTTATTACATCTGTGTATTTTTCTATAATAAGTTTCAATTCCCCCATCGTATAACTCTTTCTACTTCCTTTCTCTTTTTCAACCCTTAATTGATTCATCAGGGATGCAGTGTAACAGCTCCGATGGTTCCCGATTACCTGGCCTGTGGGATAATATTGCGGCAACACCCGTTAGATTACCTTTGTCACCTCCAACCAGAGATTGCTTGGGGACTTCAATCCAGCAAGAGATTTCGGTTCAGATATGAATAACGACTAAGTTAAAAATTTAAATTATTCTATCATTCCGTTATGTAAAACAGACAAGTAATTATAATACTAATTCAGCACATCAAATTTAGAATTACCTGTTGCTTCTTCGAAATCTTTTCCAAACTCGCAATGTTTACTCTCACAAATTTGATAATGTCTCCTAAAATATTTGTTAGATGTTTATAACAGGATTCCGTAAAATTAAACTTGATACTTCCGTAAAATTAAACTTGATCGACAGTATCTCATCAAGATAAGATGTAAAAAAAATCCAAAGAATTGAGCGATATAAAAGTTTATAAACCTTCAGTATATTTATCCAATTTAAGTGTTTGTTCACTTTTTGGCAGTACAGTACG